AATGGTACAGCTGTCCATCTCATCAGTGGCTATCGCCAAATATGGGCGAAACCCGTGTTTGGGATTTTAGCTACTACTTGTACCTTCGGTATGGTGTATCTTGCGACCCCAATCAAGCGAATTGTTGGTAAAAACAATTTCCCCTATAAGAAAGGAAAGGAAGTAATCTTAAGCGAGTTTAAAAAAACCGATTCCTTCGAATCATGTATGATATATTTTGGTCTTGGGTTCGATAGTGGTTAATGATTTATGATTTTGGCTTCCCAAGCGCGATTGTTAAGGTGAGTTCTATGCGGCAAAATTTAGTCCTTCTGGTTTTACTGCGAGCCGGAAACTTTATGGGCTAGACTGAGAATATGCTGAGGCAAATGTTTCCGATTTCAATGAACCTTTTCCAGTTATACATCCATTCAGGTTCATTCACTTCTTTCGTGGATTTGTCCAGTAAAACCCCTTCTGGCAAAAATGTCTTTAGAGGTCCTTTTTACCTTTGACTTATAACAATAACCCACTTTTACATTTTCAGTAACCCGACTTTTCCTTTTTTTCGTTAAATGCCGCCAATATAAGGTTGAATTTCCGTCAATTGCCACCAGCATTCTGGGCAAGAGGAGTTTATGTTGATGGATTCGATTTAATCTAGTACATTGAAACAAATATAAGTTTCTTTTATTTAATACTTTTTGATCACTTCCACCACAATTAAATATTCATTTACACTCGTTAATCAAAAATTAAATGACCACAAAATATATTAGACAGTTGCGCGGGGGGAATAGATATTTAAGGGGCCCTACAAGAAAGTATTGCCACCCCGCCTCCGTTTTCCCGGCAATGTCCAGCGACATTTTCCAACATAAACGCTCTGTAGAACGTAGGCAGTGCGCATTAACAGTATGCTGCTTCCTTCTGTAGGTACCATCGTGAGGAGTCCTTCCTTGCGATGAATGTGGTCATCAAAAATCATCGGAATCTGATGGAGTCAATGGAGGAGTACGTGAAGAGTGATCTCCTCGATCGGGCCAATGCCTATTTCTGCGAGAAGTGTGGCACAAAGGTGGCTGTTCAGAAGCGGACCTGCATCAAACGCCTACCCTTGGTGTTGGCTGTACACTTGAAGCGCTTTGACTATGACTGGGACAGGTATGTATTTTATTGTTTCTTCTGCGGCCTGTGCTCTTCTTTTCACTGTGAG